CATCGTGACTGACTTTGCAATTTTCAAGGCCCCATTCTGTTTCGGCGCCTCTCAGACTCGTTTAGCTGCGCGCCATGAAATCCCACGAGGTCCCTCCACAGTCCGCTGACGTGTGCAGCTACTACGGTCAATGATGACTTTCCACAGCATCTTTGATTGGGCAGGGGTCTGCTGACGTGTGCAGCTACTACGGTTAATGGTGACTTGCCACAGCATCTTTGATTGGGCAGGGGTCTGCTGACGTGTGCAGCTACTACGGTTAATGGTGACTTGCCACAGCATCTTTGATTGGCCAGGTGTCCGCTGACGTGTGCAGCTACTACGGTTGTTCACGGCGTGCGAGCGTCTGTACCCCGGCCCGTGCTCCGCTTACAAAAAGCAATTTGGTAAAATGGTTTACATAATGTCACCAATTGGTTTTGGAAAACGGTGAATGATCAAACAAAAATAGTGTCCTACTCAAAAGGGCACATGGGTGATGCCGATCTCCAGCTTACATCCTTCATAGATTTGCGAACATTCCACAATATTATGGCAGCAAAAAGTCTGTAAACTAAACTGTAAACTTTTTTATTCAACCAAGTAAGGCCCACTGATCTATATAGCGCTTTTCCAGAAGTGAACTGAGCACAAATGGCAGCTCAAATAAGTGGCTTATGTGGAAATTTAAAGCAGCCAAATACTCTCTAAATGCGTGTTTCTAAATGTGGAGGGAAAAACTGGAGGACCCAGAGAAAAATCCACGCGACCACGGGGAGCACAAACAAACTCCAAATATACAGGCATCAGAATCGGGATCGAACCCACGACCTCTTGCATACCAGGCGAGGGAGATAACATCTCAGAGGATAACCACTGCTGGCTGCCCATAGAGTGGTACCCATGTGAACGCATTCACAGGGCTGAAGCATTGGACATATATTTTATATTTGCTTCAAACATGCCAATTCTAATATTCTACAGGTAATCCCTGGAAATGCCCTGGGACGTGCTACTGTGTACGAGCGACAATTCGCTGCGTAACGCGCTGTCCTCAGCACCGTTACTACTCGGCCTACAGCAGTGAAGCTACTCGGCATCACAACATGTGACAATTGCTGCAGGAACGGAGCAACAGGGCACCGTTGAGGAGGCACGCAGGCGCCCGCTGATTTGGAGAGGCGACGTAGGGAGAGATGGATGAGAGAGAGGGGGATGCGGGCATGGAGTGCAAGTGCCATCATCAGAGAGATCGAGAAGAAAGCGCGAGCTTGAGAAGCAAGCGTTGCGTTAACCGCTGGATCCTAGTGACGCACGAAGATGCGTTTGAAGACGCTCGGTTACTCGGTAGCCATTTTTAACCCCGACTGGCCACGTCACAAGCCGGGGGGGCCTCACTTTACTCCGCGTCGCTCGCGAACCCGAGACGTGACGGTGTGGGTGGTGGTGGCCACCACCCGGCCGGCTCCCCCACCACCCACCCCAGGTGCTCGGCTCGGGTTTTGTTCTCCGCTCCCCTCAAATCGTTTCCCTGTTGCTGTCCCAACGCCGCCACCGCCGCCTTCCTCGGCAGTTCCTCCTGCACCCCTCCCACCACCCACCAGGCGAATGCGTTTCTGCTGTTGTGCAGAGTCCTGCAAAACGACACATGGTTTAGATGTTTAAATCGTACAAACGGTGTTGTTTCCCCCCCCCCCTCCCTCTCAAAAATATACAATTTAGTATGGGTATGATGTAGCCAACCGTATGTTAAACTTCTTTCTGCGCTGTGCGTAGCCAACCGTACTTAATCGTAGATGCGGGTGTAAGTCGTGCAAGCACATTGCTTGGAGCTTTGCAGCAGTTCGGTCCGATTCAGCGGTCACGTTGTAATCTTCGACATTCGTAACGTGACAAACGATGACGACTTTTTTCATATTTTGTGACGTTTTGTCGATGATGTCGAAAAGCGGAGGGAAGGGTACGTTTTGATTGGTCTCCTCTTAAGTTTCCGATGAAAAAACAACACGTGTGGGACCCAAGCCCACATACGCACGGTAGTCCTGCGCGCGTGTATGCATGTGTCGACTCTTTAGGCCACCCACGATATTTAGGATCGCGCTGTGGAAAGTTATGCTGTCTATAGGTCACCCGCAAACAGGAATGTAGGTTAGTATGCTGCATTTTGCAAAACAGCACTGCGTTTACCGGGCGGTGGACGGTAACCTCAGAACATTAACAGGCCGATGGGAACACCTTCCTGATGGAAAATTAAAGAGACAAGCCACAGTAGCGTGACTGTGGCCATGCGACACAAAGTGTGGACCCTTTAGTAAACCCACTGTGGTCTGCGCTCCTTCAGCAGCGTAGGAGGAACAGCAAAACTGCACGAACTCTCTGTCCTGAAGCCCACTCGTCGTGGCGAGCAGCAGACCCACGACATTGACATCTAGCTCCGGAACATATTTCTGCTGCCATCATACGCAATAATAGACTGTGTGACGGACTGGTTGCGTCATGCATCACTCGAGGTAGTGCAGTGCAGCGGTTAGCGCGTTGCGCTACGAACCCAGTGACCCGAGTTCGATTCCGGCTTACGGCCACCAGCACCAGTGACGATTATTTGAACCGGTCCCGAGCGTCCTCCACCTGACAGAGCTCATTTAACGTGCCATTTTATGACTGCTTCAGCACACCGGTGCAGTGATGTTGGAGGGCGATCCGCTCGCGTTTAACCATTGGGTGCGGACGTCAACTCTGGTTGCTCCAACAACCAGGATCGTCAGCCTAGCTGCCAGGATCGCGAAAATGTCCATCCAATCCTGGGCCTTAAATATTTTTTTCTGCAGATGTGTGGGCGCACCATCGCATACTTAGGTGGAAACAGCCGTGTTGATGCAATGCGGATTAATTAGGGCTACTTATTTAAGCGCTTTCTGGCCAAGCGGGTGATGGGTTTTTTCCCTCGGTAAAAAAAAAAAACTGCAGAGAAGGAACGCTGCCAGATGCGAGCGCTGCACGTCACCCTGCGCTCCGTCTGGATCCGTCCTCTGGGACGTCGTCCACGCATTCTGCCGCCCTGTGCTTTGCCTGGCTGCCACGCTGAGCGCACAAAAAAAATGTCAAACCTGCAGCGTTCACAAATTCCCCGCAACAGATGTAGGATGGAGAAGCCAAAGAGTGCACGGTTATTATCGTTTTTTTTGAAAAAAAGCAGTGGAATGGTTTCTGGCAGAATCTATTTTGGGGCAAAAAGTTTAAACTGTGTCGTCGTGCGTCTCGTTTGTTTGTAACATTCGATTCCGGAATGCTGCTGTTATTATTCGCAGCTGTTTAGAGTTGATCGTTCGTGTGCATGTGCGTGCGTGTAGGTTACACTCGGAGTGGAACACGAGCTAAAATATTGACAAAATATGGATTTATTACACGAAGAAAAAGCATGACTAATATGTTTATGGGGAAAAAAATGTGTTCGCTTTTATTTTTGCCTTATTTTAATTTCGAGCAATAATTCTCAACGGTTATCAACTGCTAAATACAGCCTTAAATCTCACACACACACAAAAAACTTTGGACGTGCGTCTCGACTAATCTTGGATGCTTTGGAGCAAGAGAATAGTCCGTGATGTCCGATCTTATTTCACGTGCTCGTGACGACGGTTGCTGACATCACGGTCGCTTGTGGAAGGGGCAAATAAGGCAAAAGAAAAGGAGAGCTCGTTTTGTGACCGCAAATGTTTGACGGAGGACAGAATTTCTCCTCAATACCACTATTAAACTATGTTTTATTTTACCGGGTAAGGCCCACTGAGCTATGCAGTTTTTTTTTCAGAAGCGGCCTGGCCACAAATGATAGCTCAGCGAAGTGGCGTATCATGTGGAAATTTCTAGCAGCCAAATACTCTAAACGCGTGGCGTTGATTCTAAATGTGGATGGAAAAATCGGAAGACCCGGAGAAAAATCCACGAGAACCACGGGGAGAGAGACACGCAAACTCCGAATATACAGGCGTCAGGGTTGGGATCGAACCCACGACCTCCTGTATACCAGGCGAGGTAGTCAACATCTCCTAGCCACCTGTGGCACCCTCAAGGAGCTGGTGCCAGGTTCTGGCGTGAGATGGGTTGCTGGGGTGGTCCCTGCACCACCGAATGTCCCTTTGACCCGTCGCCCAAGCTCACTCAATTCTCTCCCGCATCCGGGGGGAGCCGGAGCCAGGCCCTGAGTTGTGCCTGATGTGTATACCAATGTTGAACTTGTTTCGTGCTCTACGTAGCCAACCATGCCAATCGGAGGTGCGGCGGGGGGAAGGACGACAAACTCAAAACGAAAAGCAGTTTTAAAGAAATGAGTTCGTCAATCTGGATGATGATTTAAAAGTGCACAGCTTCAGTGGCTTCCTAATATCGGAAGGAGGAGCGTTCCAGACGGCCACAGAAGCGCACCTGAAAGCGCACGAAGCAGTGACCGTCCTCTTTCGGTGGCCAGTCAAAATCCGCTGCTGTGAGGAAGGACCGGAAATTGTGAGCGATCTAAGTGTCTCGCTATCAGCGGTGGCCCTGGTTTGCCCCCCCCCCCCCCCCCCCCGCTTGGGGCAACCCAACGCGTGGAAAACGAGTGCAGCAAATTAACGGCAACGCAGCGGGGCTGCCTCTTGTGGGCTACTTTGCTGGTCAGGTGAAGGACCCCCCCCCCCCCCCATACTGCCTTAGATTCCAGCATCGTGAGTGCTACAGTCTCTCGGGTAGCGCGACATCGAGGGGACTCCTCGCCACACCGACGCTCTCAAGCTGCCCGACGATTCCACAGCTTGGACCGGTGGGGAGATTTGTAAAATGTTGCTTCTTCTCTCTCTCTCTCGGACGCGCACGTGTGCGCGTTGAACTTCTTTCACGGCGCGTAGCCAGCCGCCGAGTCGGAGTGCGTGCGGCGGGGGTAAGGCCCGGGCGACGGGGCGCCGCGTTTTCATCTCGCGGCCCCAGCCAGCAGCGGCGCCGCACCGCCGGAGGAAGGAGCGCGCAGTGAAATGTTGCGTCGCGGTGCCGTTGTCGCCCTGCCCAGGTGAAGGCGAGGAGCGAGCGAGGGGCGAGCGAGGGGCGAGCGAGGGGCGAGCGAGGCGTCCACCGCGGGGCGAGGGACGGAACCGTCGACTTGCACCCAAGAGGGCAGCAGTGCCGGTGAGGACCCCCTCGCCTCCCCCCCCCTCGCCTCCCTCCCCCCCCCCTCGCCCCCCCCCCACCTCGCTGCCGTCTGCGAGGCCGTGCGGCGAGCGGCCCGCGGGACCGTCGTGGACATCAGTTGGTTCCTCCGTGGCTCGCGCGACACAATTTCAAAGCATTCGGAGAAAACGCAGAGAGTCACCGCTTAGGACACACACTGTCATGGCCCACCCCACTGTTAAGTACGAAGAACAGACAGCAACAGGTGGTTAAGTTGTGTTCCGATAAAAATCTCATTTTATTGTAGGTGAACGATTATCCGCCACGGCTTACGCAGCTGGCCCTTGACTGAATCCGCCGCTTGCTTGCGTTAAGGGGCACTGGGACTACGTAGTTACACGGGGCAGTTTTACTGCCGTTAACAATGCACACGCGCGTGTGAGGTACAGGGGAGTGGCCCCGCATGTCGTACTCGTGGCCTGTAACGTCTCTCATCCCCCGCCTCCGTTCCGGAGCCTTTTAGCGGCTTCAACTATGATCACCAATCCGTGGGTGGCGCCCATCGCTTTTTGATGGGTTGACGGTGAGTGGTTCGCAGGTATGGAGAGGTTTGTTGAACCACTGAATTCCACTGTTTTATTCCACTTGACATTTCCCCCCGTGAATAAAATAGACGTTTATGAAAATGAAATCAATTTCCCCTCGCTAGCATTCATCCAGCTGAGTTTCTGGATCTCGCAGTATGGGTGGTAGTGGAGTCCATAGGTAAGTCAATATGGCAGAGTTCTGCATTAACTATAGACAATAATCACAATGTTTGGTGGAAAAGCCACGTTAATTTTCACCTGTTCCTAATGTCTTGTCGACCGATAAACATTTTGTGAAATAATCACCGTAATTATGTTAACCTTTCAACATACCGCCGTGCTACTTACGAGGGCCCCCCTATATACAATGCGGCACATCCTTAAAGACTTCCCCTGAAGACTATTGGGCTCTCACCAAAGATTCGGCGGCGGCGACGCCTGTTGTCATACACAGCCCACACAGACGGATGAAGAAATCCAGTCTGAAAATAGAGTGCGAGTTATCATTGGCTGGCCTCTGCACAGAATAATCTGTGGCCCAAACCCTATTGTGCACGCGGTTGCAGGGTTCATCATCACCGATTCACCACTTAACGTCCACAACCTGCTGCTTAGTGGGTTAACCAAAATGTCGCTCTGATATGCTGGGGAGCAACCCCTCCTTTGCAAACAAGAATCGTTCATTAATGTTCAATATTGCAATGAATTGATAAAGAATTATTCGATTTGGTTCAGTTTTTTTCTCTCTGGATTCATATCGAGGACGTCCGTTTCCATGTTTTATAGCCGTTGGGCAGCATCTACTTCATCATGGGAAATTAAAGGCAAACCACAGTAGCTTGATTGTGGACCGTGTAACAATCCACTGTTGTCTGCGTTCTCTCAACGGAGGAAGAGCAAAACTTACCCGAACCCTCTGCTGAAGCCCTCTCGTCGTGGCCAGCAAGCCCCGACATCGGCATCCGACTCATGAACGTATTGCTGCTGCCGTGCGCAGGGCACAGAACAGAATCGTTTGTTCGTATGTAGACAGCGGCCGGCATATTCCAGGCAGCCTAAGAATCCTTGGAAGGTGGCATCTGCTGATGGGGTTTTGCTGTTTTTAGATGCAGTGCAGTGCGCGCACGCGCGTGTGTGTGTGTGGTGTGTGTGGTGTGTGGTGTGTGTGGTGTGTGTGTGTGGTGTGGTCTGTGTGTGGTGTGTGTGTGGTGTGTGTGTGGTGTGTGTGTGTGGTGTGTGTGTGGTGTGTGTGTGTGGTGTGTGTGTGGTGTGTGTGTGGTGTGTGTGTGTGTGGTGTGTGTGTGGTGTGTGTGGTGTGTGTCTGTGTGTGGTGTGTGTGTGTGGTGTGTGTGTGGTGTGTGTGTGGTGTGTGTGTGGTGTGTGTGTGGTGTGTGTGTGGTGTGTGTGTGGTGTGTGTGTGGTGTGTGTGTGTGGTGTGTGTGTGGTGTGTGTGGTGTGTGTCTGTGTGTGGTGTGTGTGTGTGTGTGGTGTGTGTGTGGTGTGTGTGTGTGGTGTGTGTGTGGTGTGTGTGTGGTGTGTGTGTGTGGTGTGTGTGTGTGGTGTGTGTGTGGTGTGTGTGTGGTGTGGTGTGTGTGTGGTGTGTGTGTGGTGTGGTGTGTGTGTGGTGTGTGTGTGTGGTGGGGTGTGTGTGTGGTGTGTGTGTGGTGTGTGTGGTGTGGTGTGTGTGTGGTGTGTGTGTGTGGTGTGTGTGGTGTGGTGTGTGTGTGGTGGGTGTGTGGTGTGGTGTGTGTGTGTGGTGTGTGTGATGTGTGTGTGTGGTGTGTGTGATGTGTGTGTGTGGTGTGTGTGGTGTGTGTGTGGGTGTGTGTGGTGTGTGTGTGGTGTGACTTTGAAGTTGGGCCACAAGAAACCACCGCACGGGCACTCCACCAATGTGGCGGGGCGACAAGGGGGGGGGGGGACCCTGACGTCATAGCACAAGCTGCCACCTTGCTGCAGGAGGAGCAGCAGCATCAGCAGCTAATGGAGGTGGGGGGGAAAACGATTGTCATTACTGCAGTCAATTGCCTTTGTTTTGTGCAGATTTAACAACAACAAACCGGTGACTCTGGCTGACCCCTGTGGCCCATTGTCATCATTGTAACGCGTCGTGCGTGTGCAGTGTTTACCTTGGAGAGCAAGGGGTGCAGGCCTGTGGGTTTGACAGTTGCAAGGTGCATTTGAAATATGAGGAATCTGTTCCAGTGTGAGTCCACTTAGCCGCCACGCCGCTAGAAATAGCGGTGACTCACCGAAGTGACGCGCAAGGCTACGAACGCAAATGACATTGTAAGATGCCTGTGTGGGCCAGCGGTCAGCTGCTACCCACTGAGCCCGTTTACACGCCGCTGGTCACGGTTGGATCTCCCGCAGGCTGGTGGCATTTGTGAGGCACCGTGTTACGCTGCGCTACGAACCTGGCGACCCGGGTTCGATTCCCGCTCACGGCCAACACCGGTGACGATTATCTGAACCGGTCCTGGCCATCCTCTAGGCCGTGCCGGCCTTCACAGGTGCTGCTCGCTAACAGAACTTGCCACTACAGTGTGTTAAGGCTACACGGGAGATCTTTGTTTTAATGCGATGTACACTCTACCTTAAAGCAGAATGTTACGACTTTCTGTCGAAATATTTTATTGTTTTATTTTCAATACTCATTATTTTCAAACCCCATGATGCCCAGTCATTCCATTTGTGTCATACCATGCCACGAACCCTTATTTTGAACTCCCCTTGCAAGCAGTGCGGCCAGCTGATGTTCAGAGAGCAGTCCGCTGAAGCAGACATCACAGAGTTACATCTCAAGCTCCCTCAGTAGCTTTGTGTCCACTCCATGTTGTGCGCCCACATGTACCCTGTAGACTATTAATCTGCATGTGCCCTGTCGACTATTCATTCGCACGTGCCCTGTAGACTATTCATCTGTACGTGCCCTGTAGACTATTAATCTGTACGTGCCCTGTAGACTATTAATCTGCATGTGTGCTGTAGACTATTCATCTGCACGTGCCCTGTAGACTATTCATCGCATGGTGATCAAACCGACACTGTTAGTCCTCGGAATTTAAAAAAGCTGTATCAAACTAGGGAGCGGTGTCGGGGCGGTTAGCGCACTGCACTGTGAAGTCAGCGACCTGAGTTCCATTCCCAGCCATGACTAACGTCAGTGTGTGTGTGTATTCAAACTCGGCCTACCCCCCCACCCTCCTCCCTTCACAAACCCACATTGACCAGCATGGTGAAGTATGGTCAAACAAAGCTTCATTACCAACGCATCATGGGAAGGTCTTCAGTTGTCAGTAAATTGACATTGTTATAAATTGACATATGGCTATACATTTATAGCCATTGTAAATGTTGTGGATTTGCTCTCCGACACACCGGTGTGCTGAACTAGTTACGAATTGGCACGCTCCGTATACGTGACAAACCTTACAAATTTTCTGTGTCAGGTGGTGGCGGCTTTAACGACACACATTTATATTTGTTATCATATTGGTCAGGGCGAAGTAGGCAGCAGAGATTGTCAGCGGGTGGAGCGTGGGGCGCTCGAGCTCCGTGTAGGGAGGCACCCGGGGGGGTTTGGGGCAGGGGGCAGTTGCAGCGCTGGGCCGGGTGGGTGTCGGGCCGAGTGTGGTGGGGTTTTTGCGGCGTTAATGGGCCCAAAAACCCAGGAAATGCCATCGGCTGGCTGGGTAAAGGCAGCGGGGGAGGGGGGGGGGGCCCGAAGGCAGACTCCATGTTGTCGTTTAGTCGCCGGCGTCGCCTCGTTCGCGCGCACCCCAGACGCACGCAGGGCAAACCGCCTCCTGCTCCTCCTGCTCCTCCTGCTCCTCCTCCTGCTCCTCCTCCTCGTCCTCCTCGTCCTCCTGCTCCTCCTGCTCCTCCTCCTGCTCCTCCTGCTCCTCCTCCTGCTCCCCCTGCTCCTCCTGCTCCTCCTGCTCCTCCCCCTGCTCCTCCTGCTCCTCCTGCTCCTCCTCCTGCTCCTCCTGCTCCTCCTCCTCCTGCTCCCCCTGCTCCTCCTGCTCCTCCGCCTCCTCCTGGGCCGAGTGGAGCCGCGGTGACGGCCGCGCGCTCGGAGATGGCAGCAGCTGTTGACTAAGCAAGCGGCGCATCTCATGAGGCGATGATGAAGCAGAGCTCGAGTTTAGAAGGCGACGTTGATAGGTGCCGTCTGTTGAGTCAGTTTTTTTAGACAATCAACGGGAATAGTTATGGCAACGGCAGCACCGGTGGTACGTGATGTGAGGCAAATCTGCCGTGGCATTTCTAACATTTGTAGTTGCTTGGGTGAACTTGTACTGATGTATGACAGGTGAATTTCAGCAAGATATTAACGTTGAGCTTCATAGCGAGGACGTCTTGCCTTATCGAGAGCAGGCGGGAAGGGATGGGCCAATGCTGTCAATTGCAGCATCGATTCGGAGACGG